GAGTCCGGCGTTGCAACCCTCGCTTCTTTCCCGCCAAGGATGGACCGGAGGGGAGGGCTAATAAGCGACGCACACCGATGTATTAATACGTTTCGCCTCGCGAGGGAAAAGGTGGCCATGGCTTCTTCCCCCGTCTCTCTATTCGCGCATTCCGCTTCTCTCTCCTCTCTCTCTCTCTCTCTCTCTCTCATTCTCTCTGCAAACGGTGTAATAGACATATAAGATACATGTGATTGCTCTGCGGCTTTGTTTTCTAATGTTAAAAGTATATTATGAGATGATCTCGCTAAGAACATCGTAATGTTCGCCAGTATTGATTCAGGAAATTGTGTAATAGGATCTGATGTTTCTTGTTTCGATATATACACATGCCTAATTAATATAGAACTTGACGGGAGAGAAACGTACTAATGTTACGTCAACATGATCCTCGCCCTAGTGCAACTAAAAGTCAAACTCACGTTACTATGGAAAAAAAATAAAATAAAATAAATAAAATAAAATAATGAAGGAAATTATATTGTTCCAATGTGATAGTTTTGTATATTACACAAATGTGTATACTTTTTCTCCAAGCTAATTGTAAGATGTTGAAAGCATTCATTGATATAATAGAATTCTCCCTAGCTATCCTACTCTTAAATAAAACTTTAAGGCATAACATCTGTTATTTCTTCTGGATATATTTACAGCGTTATATTTAGAGAGATACCTTATATAGCATTTGCTGCAAATGCTACTGGTAGGCTGATACCAATACGGCCTGGTGTTTGTTACCTATACACTGTAATGTCACAAGTGCACCTGGCCTCGGTTATGCATGGCTGATGGGGAGAGAGACTTCTGTTGTCTCTAAGTCCTTCCAATGTCCGCACGAGTGTGTATTTACATGCCTCATACATACACTCGACTTCCCTCCCCCGTGCAATTTTGTACACGAAGAAACCATTACTTAAGGCTCGTTACGTGGAAGCCACTTTTCTGCCTCAATATCCACTCCTCGGTCCTCAGCTGTGAAAGCGATATGCACCTGGAGTCAGATAAAACTCGCAGGCTGAGAATTTGTGCAGATGCGTTGAAAAGTCAAATGGCAGAGATAAGGGATACCGATAGCGCGAAATCTAACGACAAACATTGGGGGCAGGGTAAAATTGCTAAATCAGCAACAAAATTAAACGCCATTCGCGTGTAGGTGTGAAGTGCAAGTTCGGACAGGCAGAATTTTGGAAGGCGAGTCCAGGCAGAGATGGCTGCGAAAGATTAATATGTTCATCAGCTTAGGGCTGCGGGGTGGAAGATTGGCATTCATGTAATTGATAAACCCATTTTAATTGGAAATCTTCGTACGCTTCTTCATATCAGATGCCCCATAGGAAGTATAGTAAGTATAATAGGCTCACCTAAGCGTTACAAATCGGGGGAATCTATGAGGCAGACCTCTCTCTCTCTCTCTCCCAGAGAGCATCACAAAGGTATCACCCTGCTTCGATATAACACATTCAGATTGGATCCCTTAACAGATCAATATCGTGCAAAGAATCGAAATCGTAAAACTACCTAGAAAGAATCCCCTCAAAGGATGCAGGCCTTCGCTCTCTGGCCTACAGCTCCTGGTTTTCGCCCGAATTAACCGGGTAGAATCGATTCCGACAAACCGTTCCGCTCTACCCGAGGGGAGGAACACTTCCCGCGTGTAGCTTCCGTCACGAAACGGATTCAACGTGCCTCCGGACGATCGGCGTCACTCCGACAAGCGATATTTCACGCTAAACATTCTAGCTTGTGACAGGCAGACACTCTCACCGTGTCTTCAGATTCCTCGCGAGCGTGCCGTGCGACCGGCTACGGGTGAAACCATCAGGGAGGAGGGGGGGGGCGGGACGACCCGCGACGACGGCGGCGTCTCCGTCGGCCACGACGTCGACGCGAGGTTCCGCGAGCAGGAACGACGACGGATGAGACTATCCGACATCCGTACGTCTCTCTCTCTCTCTCTCTCTCTCTCTCTCACACTCTCTCATTCGCACTCACCTGTCTTCATGAATGGCGTGTGCTCGAACGCAGCGGCGCCCGGGCGCACTCGCGCGACCGAACGACGTGTTTCTCCGCCGTCGTCGTTGTCGTTGTCGTCGTCGTCGAGCGGGCGCGCTCTCTAATCTCCCTTTCTCTCTCTCTTTCTCCTTGACGCGCGCGCGCGCGCGCTCTTTCTCTCTCTCTCGCCCTCGTTGCTCCCCTCGAAGGCGACAGCGAGCTCGTCACCCAGGAAACCGCGCGCCGCGGTGATCGGCTCGTACGACGCTCGCTCGCTCGCTCGCTCGCACGCACGCACACGCACGGCGCCGGCACGGAGCGCAAAAAGAGCGGGGCGACACACTCCGACGAACCCCCTGTACTTTGTTGTGGACGGCTGGCCGGAGTGGTGTTGCTTGTCTGCTGCTACGGTCGCCTTGGCTACGGCATCACTGACCGCGTCACGCGCAGGGCCGCGCGCGGCACTGCCGGGCCCCCCAATTCGCGCGCGCGGCTCTTTCCCGCTTTCCTCCTCAGCGCCCAGCTGCGCCGAATGGTCTTCCTCGCGAGAAACGCCGTGGAAGAGGGAACCTCAATTTTCGATCAACAACGCGCGACCTTTATTCTCACTCCTTCGATTGGCGAAAATGCGATTTTCGCTGCCGCGTTACTATATATACGATCTTTACCGAGAATTCAAATTATGATTACTCGGCTGGATTCACGACGACTGCAATTTAACGATGACTTTTAAATACGAGATATATCGCGGACTGTGAATACCTTAAAAATGTTATTCTGCAGAAAGAAAGAATTTTTCCATCTCCATCTTTCAATGCTATATGTTTTTTTTTTACTTCCCAGATCTTTGAGGAATTGGAGAGGTCGAGAAAATATAAATTTGAAAAAACTCGCGTCTCCTCGAAACGCGAATTATCGGAAAGCGGTACTCCCGACTTTGAAATTAAACGCCGCAATATCGAAGTGAAAAAAAACGCGACGGGACGCAACGGGACGAGCGTTCCGCAGTCAGTTTCCGACTTTCCGTCCCACAACCGCAATCCGAGGGGGGAGGGATTGGCACGCGATCGGCCGGCCGATAATGCACGAATCCTTTTTCGGTCGCTGTCGATTACGTCGATGGCGCGTGTCATAATGCGGCTTTTCGGCGCCATCTGTGCCGCGCGCCTGCAAACGGTACGCCAATGACGGTAACTACAGACGTCCTTCTCTATCCGGTTGAACTCATGCGGTAAACTCTGAATTATTTTAATTCGGGAATTAATTTATAAAGCAATTATATCTATGCTATTTTGTTAAGATGAATAAAATTGCAAATTTATCAATTATTTAATACATGATTATTATAAAAAAAAGAAGTCAAAAATAACAATTATTAAATAATTTTGCCTATTGAATCATTAATAAGTTAATCAGAGTTTGATCATCTCATGTCCTCGTATTTTGAATGACAGTCATTCATGATTCAAAGAGAGAGAGAGAGAGAGAGAGAGAGAGAGAGAGAGAGAAATTGAAATATAAAAACTATAATCAAACGATCGAATCACTTAATTATTGCATATTATAAAATTAATTTTTGTTATAGATGTGTGCAATTATAGGCACAGTTCTTGCTCGAAATAGAACGGACAATAAGATTCATTATATTAGTCTAAATAAATCAATGAGACAAGAACTAATTAATTAATAAAGGATTTAAGGATCGGGAGAGCGGAGGTTCGCGGAAACGATTATAACGACTTCAACGGAAATGATCGCTGTCATCGCATCGTCGCCAGCTGCTCGTCGCGACGAGGTGAAACGCGGAGCACGGACACACGGCGAAGTCCGTCAATATTGAAAAAAAAGAAGGAGTAAGTCGCTTACACAACAACGATCGGTTCCTAAGGAGGTAGCAAGGCATGTCCGATCGGTACTCGTTCGCCGTCGACGCGCACTCGAGAATCTCGCAGCGGTAGGACCACGGCGGGGCCACGAAGTTGGAATTCCTCTCCATCCGCGCGAATCCTGCGGATTAAAAGGATTACAATATCCCCGGTCAGCGAGACGTAACCTCCGTGAAGACGCGAGAAGACTTCGAAGGAGGAAAAAAAGAAAGGGAGAAAAGTCGATCGCGATTCGCGGAGGACGGGACGATCCACGCACGTCGTCGCGATGACAATCGCGGATCGCCATCGATTTTCGCGTGCAGCGACGTCGTCCGCCGCCATTTCGTCCGAAAAAAGGGACGACGCGGAGAACGGGAGAGGACGAATCGTCGGGAATTCGAGAACGTCGCTCGTTTCGAGGGGCGACTCGTTCAGCCCCGAGGAGCCTGTCGTGTACCGAATTGCCGTGCATGTGTCGCACATCTCGATCGCAGTACGCGGGGGATGTGGGTCGATCGGTCTCTTCACTGACTGCGCCCGACGCGAGGCCTGGCCGCAGCGTTTTGAATCGATGATCGATGCGCGTGTCGCGTGCGCGCGCGCCGTCTCGCTCCGCCAGCGGCGGAGCCAGGAACTCGCGGGCCCCGGGCGCGGCGGACTCGAATCGAGATCATCCGGAAATGTGAAAACGAGTACGCGCGATTTTGTCCAGTTCCGTTTGTCGCATCTACGAACACACGCGAAAGTGATTCAGTTCTCGTCGAAAATTCTTTCTTATTCAGGCGGAAGAATTATTGGTCTGAAATTTTTATCGACTTCAAAATTAAACAAAGATTACTTGATACGAAATTTTCATGCGCGCTTCGAAAAAATTGGACAAATCGAGGGTTCGTCGGGATTCGTTGACGATTTAACGTTATAGCAAAAAAAAAAAATTCGCATTAGTAAAATGCAACACAAATGAATTAAATGATAGCACCGGCGATGCATTCGAATTGGAAATAAAATTGGGATTTATATGACAAAAAAACTTGCGATTAATTCGTCGCTCATCGCGCGCAGGGCGTCTTGCGCGAGGTTGTCAGCAGTGACAGCACTGTTGCCTCGCGAAGGAGACGGCTGGCGTTATCGGCGCGCGTTGTCCGACCGTCGGGAAAAATGATGACCTCGTCGGAAACGTCGGAGGTGGAGAACGCGGCGGGCGAGAGGGGCGCCGAGGACTCGGCGATCCTGGAGGTGAGCTCGATGGCGGTGGGCGGGATCGTGAAGCAGGAGAGCCGCGACGTCGACTACCTGTCCAACTGCAGCACCTCCATCGAGGGATCCGTGGTACGCGAGCGTAACATAACCTGGGAGACCCAGTTTGACAGCTCCCCCGTTTTGCCCCACTGACCGCGTCCGTTGCCCTGAAAGTCAGTCAATAAGTTGACCGACAAATTGCAGTAAATTACATTGATAATAAATGCTAATTAATTACATTAATAAAAATGCTAATAATGTAAATTAATTGATAATAAACATACAATACGCGATGGACTCTGACCCGCGAGCCTGACGCTGACTGAGTTCCATACGATTGGCTTGTCAATCGATAAATGTCAAGAAACCGCTGTAATTCCTACAGGTCGCGTCTCCCTCCATCGATAGCTTCTCCACTCTGCCGGATCAGGAGATATCGGACTTCCAGACGGACTCGCGAGATCTGCAAGTGAAAGTGGACAATCCGCAGAAGCATCTGGAGACTCTGGAGACGTACATCACATTCCGCATAACGACCAGAGTACGTACGGCTTCGTTGGCAAAGTCATTTCGATTCTCGAAATCGACATACGTTGTAATCGTACTAAATAATTCCCCAGACTACACGGCCGGAGTTTGAGGAAGCGGAGTATGTGGTTCGCAGGCGATACAATGACTTCATTTGGCTGCGCCAGAAATTAGTGGATACCTATCCGACACACATCATACCAGTGAGTTTTCATTGTTATTTTTTTGTAAATATATATGGTATGTGAATTATAACTAAATGAGATACACGATTAGTGAGAAAATGATATGTGGAGAGGCCAAAAGATTTACAAATCCTGGGTCTTGTTGCAGCCGATGCCAGGCAAGCATACGTTGCTCGCTCAACTGGATCGTTACTCCAAGGAATTTATCATAGCGCGTATGAAGCTTCTGCATATATTCCTGAACAGAGTGGTGAACCATCCTATTCTCAGTTGCGACAAGAATCTCCATATCTTTCTCACGACAAAACCCTCGGTGAGTTGCTGCAGCAATATTGTGTCAATTTTTAATCGATTACGGTTATTAAATCAATCCTAAATTAATTACAGGAATTTCTCGTTCATCGCAAAAATCGCGGGAATGTGCTCGGGAAAGTGACCGACTCCTTGCAAAACATAGCGAGTACTTACACGATGAAACAACGTCACTTGGAGTTCGAACAGATTCGCGACTATTGCACAGCGCTGGGTGAAAAGTTGTCGGCCATAGATAAGATCAATCATCGTATACATAAGGAGAGACAAGGTGCGTACAGGGAGCACGCTCACAGATACATGTAGGTAAAATAGCTGTCAGCTGTTTCTCACGTTGTACACTGTAACGCAACAGATTATCTGCTGGAGCTTCATCAGCTGCATCCCATATTCACACTGTGGGCGACCTCGGAACCGGAGCTCACGCCCATTTTATTGGCGATCGCTAAAGCGGTAGAAGCGAACGCGATGGCCCATCAGAAACTTCTTGAAGACGTTCCTAACGACGAGCGCGAGTACGTTTCGTACATTGAAGCGGTCAAGAACGCATTGTCCCGGCGCGACTCGATGCAGATTGAATACGAGATAACGGTCGACCTGTTGGCGAAGAGGAGATTAGAAAAGGACCAGGTACAAACCTCGCTTATATCTTTCTCTCTCTTTTTTTAAATCTCTTTAGAGTTTAATTAATTAATGAACATATTGTGCCTCCAAATATATATCAATCAGCTTATAATTCTTTTCGTAATAAATACTAAAGCTTAACTTTTTAATGTAAGGAAATTAATCATCGTATAATTTACATTTTTGTATTGTTAAAAAACAAATGGGACAGATTTGTAATTACACTTAATTGCATTCATACAGTTGGTAGGTAATACGAGCTACACGATTCCCGCGCAAGGCTGGGGCGGATCTCTATGGAAAGCGGAATCTCGCGACGAAAAACTGGAGAGACTCGGCCAGACGATTCCGCGATTGGCCAAACAGTCGGAGATACTGCAGGATCGCGTGGAGTGCGCGAACGAGAATCTGCGAAGCGACTTTCAGAGGTGGAACGTGGAGAAGCAGCAGGATCTGAAGAGCATGCTGATCGCGATGGCGGACCGACATATCAGACACTATCAGCAGTGCATGAACGCGTGGGAGGAGATTCTCACCGGCCTCAAGCTGGACGGAATCGGATCTGACGTTAGCGTGGGGCCGCCCGTTAAGATACCCGTTTGAATCCGCTAGTCTCTTCGCCACTCGAAAGGACATAGAATAAGTGTTCGTTATATATATATATATATAATATATACGGAGATAAATACGCAGTTAAAAAGAATCTCTATATTAAATAATGACACAAAGTTTATTACAATCTAAAAAAAAAAACGATCTATCATCAGCTTCGATATAATTGCTTTTGAAATTCAATCGTCGTTTCTCGGTAAAAAAAAAAAATTATTATACTTACGAATTGTGACGGACGCGTTTAACGACGCAAGTTGCATTTAATGCACATCATTCATATAATACGCTATAATATCAAAAACTTTAAAACTGCGGGAAATTCGCTCTTATGATACAATAATCTTGTGATAACGTGAAAAATTAAGTATAACGCATTTGGTCCTACACACATGCAGGACATGTTATAATCATGTACAAGCAAAAATTTTCCGATATTCTTCACAAGTTTAGATCAATTAATTTTGGGGGACCAAAGTATATCGAGGCAGTTATCGCCAATTCTCTTTTCTCTCTCTCTCTCTCTCTCTTTCTTACTTCGTTTTTCACATTACAATATATTTATTGACAATCAGTTTAGTCACCTATATCTACTAGTTACCAAAGTACAGTAGTTACCATGATAGCGTAGATAGCGTCAATGTATAGTATACAGCACACTGGTAAATTTTACAAATCGGAGCAAAACGCTTGCGAGAGCTTCGTTGTATCGTTAATTAGTACCTTTAAATCTATACCTCTAAGTTTATGAACAAGTCCCATCGCACTGAATCAATTCCGCTTAGCGTTCATGGAGAATACAAATTAATAACAATAATAAAAAAAAAAAAAGACGTAGCGCGCGAGTCCTATATGGCTTACACATTCCTCTGCGTTTCATCCGTTATTTACGCTCGAGAAAAGGGGAAGATACTCTTCGCTGCTAACACAACCATTGTTAACAGTGCGGAGTACATTTCTGTAATGTACGTTATACGCCGCGGCTCAGCGTATTTGGCAAAAATGGCGGAGTTTGTTTATGTCGATAAATAAATTACTGTTTGCAACTTGAAGAGTGCGATGGCTCCCTGCAAATCTCTCCTCACTCCATTAAGGCGTCATTCGTACGTTCTACGTAACACTCCATCGGCGTTATGTAGAACTGCACCAGATTGTCCAGATCGGTGAGCTTGGTTAGAGACTCGCCTGCAATGGGCTCGACATTACGCGATTTGTTCTTATATAAAAACTTCAATATGCTTGTCTAGGACGAGACACTGACCTGCCAGGCTCATCTCGTTGTGAAGGAAGCGCACCGTGTGCGCGTACGGCTGTTGAATCTTTTCCCGCAGCTGCGTAGCCAAACGGCGGGTCGGATTCCATAGCTGGCTACGAAAATTCGGTATGTTCGTGATGGTCGGCTTCCACGACTCGGGCTTTACCTCCTCCATAGGCAGCACGTCCGTTATCCTGTACTGGCTCGTGTCGATGTTCCACGTGAACTTGCACCCGACCTCGTACTGCTTCCTCTCCTGCGCACTGCGTGCATCGCGTTAAATTTATTTAATTTCGAGACACGTTTCGTTTAAGCGATACTTTCAAATTATTACGTATGTAACGCGCGACGGTTCTCGTTGGCAAAGTTATCGTGCAATTAACGTGCAAAGGAACTAAACGCGACTATAGAATGTTAATTCGTAGGATGGCATGTGTGCTTACCATTGCGTTTGGCTACATAACTCACTTGCTTGGATCTTCATTATGTGCAAACATATTATGTCGCCGCTAAGCGCGCACACGTCGATTATTTCGATATCGTAATCGCTGCAGTGCCAATACTTTTTCTTGAACCTCGAGCAGATCCAGTCTGCTATGTGGTGAGAAAAAGTCTCGATATCGAAACTCAACTGTGTTATAGAAACGCATGGCACTATCTGAAAGGTATTTTTCGTTACGTCAGAAATACGTTCACGTCTCGTTCACGATTATTTTTTTTTTTTATCGATTATCCAAGGTGATTTGCCTCGCGGAAAATCACCGTATTGAAAGAAACATTTTTTAATTTAATTTGAAACAGCAAATACCAGTTTTTCCGCTTTACTGTTGCTGATCATCTGCATTTGAACGTATCCGGAGCCGTGCACGAGCATCGGAAGGACGCATTGGTAACTTACGTATCCCCCGGTCTCTTCATCTGCAAACATCGTCTCAATGTAACAACTAGTTGCAATTAAATTACGACTACGTTTACGCGTGAAACTGGCCCAATCACGGTCATTTTATTCTTCGGAGGAACAGCTACGATCGGTCAGTTTTAATAACTACATATGTTATTGAACTCAATTAAGAGTGTACGTAGTACATGAGAAGCACTAATCTGCAAAATCATAAACATAAATACATACCTTCGACGTCTGTGATCACCGATATCATTTCATCGTCGAGCTCTATGTAGCTCCGTTTGAAACGCGCGGTGCACTTTATCAGAGGGTACTGCAAGTTATTTCTAGGAACCAACGGCGAGAAATTCGGGCAGCACTTGCCGACGCGGTCTCTGTGCACGCTCCCGTTGGACAACTGATTCTGATTCAACGGACGTAGGACACTTTTCTCAGCTGAAAAGAAAGAAGCGTTCGAAGTTTGTGTCATTTTATAACGAATCCTTCCGTCTCGATAATAAAATCGTAGGGATCATACCTGATTCGGCGTTCGACAAGTCGCTGGCTATACTAATATCTTGAGCAAGATTCAATTCGTCCGGTTCGCTCTGATCCGAATCGACCCAGTGCCTACGGCCGTTCGGCAGCACCGGCGACATCGCCGGCGAGGAGGGAATCTGATGTATGGAGCAGGCGCCGCGATGCCTGAACTGGTCGCGTATGTGCTTGAAAGGAACTATGTTCTCCGCGTCCTCCGTCTCGTCGCAGAACTCGTACTTCTTGTCGGCGAGCCGGCGCTTCCTGAACGAGCTGAGCTTCTCGCAGGTCGTCTCCTGCGCCTCGTCGGTGAACTCGTACGCCTTCTCCGCCTCGAGGATGAGCTTGTGCGTCGCCCTCGTCGTTCTCGCCGACTGCGCCGGCACCACGGGCGGCGGCGAGTGCAGATTCGACCGCTTGCGCGGGCTCGGGTAGCGAAAGGAACGGGCGACCGGCGGCGACATCAGGCGGGACGAGCACGAGGACGAGGGGCTAATCGACACGGACTGCAACGGCGAGTTTATGGAAGCCACGGAGTTGTCCTCCTGCGAAGCGCCGGGCTGCGGCGAGCTCGGGCGCTGCTGGCTGCTACCGCTGTAATTACGCTGAACCTGGATTCTGTGACTAGATTCCGAATTGCGTGTGCGCAGGATGTCCGACGGCGGGGTGAGTATCGGCGACGACCACGTGGCCATCGCCCTGAGATCGGAGGGCAGTCTCTGCGGCGTCGAGCGCGGCGAGCACGACGGGTGTTTCACCAGTGTGATAAGATCGCTGCCGATATTGAGCTCCTGCGACGTGTCCTCGCAGAAGTCCTGCAGGATCTTGTCCCGCACCGAGATGGCCGTCTGCTCGACGCCGGCGGCCGGCGACCGCGAGACGGGGCTGCCGCCGCCGCCGCCGCCGCCGCTGCTGCTGTTGTTGTTGCTGCTCCGGCACTTGCATTCAGCCGTGTCCGAGCACTCGCACGACTTGGCGTTTAAACTGCCGCCCGCAGCGGTAGACTTACTATTTATATCACAGACGTAGTCGCTTTGATTACTGCTTGAGGTATTTAATGGCAAATCGCGTCCTAGCTTATCGTCTAACTTAATTGGCTCGTCTAGAAAGTCGTGCTCCAAGCTGGACTCGCACTTGGGAGATCGATCGACGCATTCCGGCGTGCTCACTTTCTCGTCCGAGCTCTCGTACCGCTCCGTCCGCGTCGAGTAGTCCGTCTCCTCGACGTCGCTCATGTCCAGCGGGATCGTGTCCGGAACCACGGGATCGTGTATGACGCTGTCCTGTTTGTCGCACGACCTCTGATTCTTCGATTTAGGTATATTTAAATCTACCCTGAGTACATGTAGGAAGTTTCCCGTGTTGACCACCACGTGGTTCCAATAGTTGAGACACACGGTGGCGCGAAACTTCGGGTACGGCGAGATGACTTCGTAAGTCGTGTGAACCGTAAGGCCATGTTGCAAACAGTTGCATCGCACGCAGCCGTCCCAATTCGCGGCCAACTCTGTACAGCAAAATGCATAATTCTGATTAATCCTACTACAATCGCGCAGTTGATAAATGTAATATTTTATATATTACACGATAATAGAATACATTTTTCTTTCCAAAAGTTGCAAATTATTTACCTTCGCCCTCTTCCTCATACGATGCAGCAATTTTCATGCAATCTTTGCAATTCTCGAGAGACGGTACTGTCGTTATAGTTAAATACGCTCTATCAGTCGGTTGCAAATGTAAGAAATTTGTACTGTAACGGAGAAATAATATGGCTGGCTAGTGTATCTTATTTCACACAGCTTCTGGAAGGCGGACATAATCCAAGAGTACGTACCAAAGGCCGTGAATTACAAGCTTGTTCCGCTCCATCGGCCATTGGGATATAATTATGCTTAATTCCCTATAAATTGTATAATTGCCAAACAATGTGACTTCGGCGACTTTGCGAGCCGCACGGTTGGGCGTGAAGGCCCACCAGTGCAACAGGTATTTGTACAAAGACGTGTTGCTGCTGACGTCCAACGTGTACGTATACGTGAGCAGGAACTGGCCACACTGCGTCAGTCCCATAACAATATGCCTTGCAAAACAAAGATACAATCTTCACAATCGTGCCATTTGTGCTAAACATAATTACTTCACATTTATATCTCTGTATTTAACACTAGCAGGTAATCATTGCTACAGACACTCGCTGTTCACATTAACGACCATTTCTCACCGGATCTCAAAGTTTCTAGAGATCTCTCTCAAAGATCTACTCTCTAAATTTTCTGGAGTGACTTTCACTTTTTTGGAGTGAATTTTCACTCTTTTGGAGTGAATCTCACTCCAAATAAATGAAAATACTGCCACTCGAATGGCCGAGTGGCAGTATTTTCACTCCAAAAAATGTAGAGAGTAGAGAAAAACATTAAGCGCTTGTGACACAATAATCTGCATTTATTTATTTAAATGCATTATTGATTTAAATATATTGTATATATATATATATATATATGTTTATTCATATGTACAAAACAGAGTACACATGTATCCGAGAATTCACAGCTATAATGCAGTGAAAAAAAAAATAGGCTAAAAGATTCTGTGTACGAAATGATTCGACTCTCTCCATACCCTGCCTCCAGCGCCGACTTTGGGATTATCTGCAGGAGATGGAAGTGTCGCCACTTAGGCACAGTTGCGAACAGTCTCTCCTCCGAGGCGTAATTGTGCGCTGACAGGCATCCTCTCATCTGCGAGCAAAAAAAAAATCGTGCTGCTGTTATTACAAAACAAATCTTGCACGTACAGCGACTGCCTATGTAAATCGACGCGTGCCCATTCCAATGAGATTCCCCAGGCGTGAAAACGGACGTTTTTCAGGACGTCGACGGACCGAGAATTTCCTCAAAACGTTTAAAAGAAAAAAAAAATCAAAAGTCAGCTTGAAGTTGTAGTTTGGGTGTATTTTTTTTAATCGCGGTTTAACGCGAACGGCAGCTCGCTCTAAACCAAACGAACAATCTCTTATTTTGTTTAGGGGAGGGGCGGGGGGGAAATAAAACCGCGGAGCCCGTCGCGGGCGAGGAATCGCTCGTTGACAGCTCGAGGCGCGGTGCCTCGGAGGCCTGTCACTCACGGTCAGCCAGTCGGGTCGCGGTCGCGAATCTGGACGGCCTACCTCCCGTATCAGCAGCTTCTGCAGGAGGTTCCGCTTGCTGCGACGGTGCGACGGGCACGGCTTGCGTCCCACGACGACGTACTCCGACTTTTCCGACGTAATGTCAGAGAAACACTCATTGCAGCAGTCCGAGGTAGTGTCGGAAGACGACGCGTCCGCCATTTTTAAATAACCTCGCTCGTGTGCGCGTCGAGAGAGTACGCTATACGCTCTCGCGTGCGTGGAGCGCGGCTGGCGACGCTGGCGTATCGCAATGCGCGCCGCGGCGGCGCTCGTCTCGGGCGGAGGAGGACGAAGATGAGAGGGGTCGCCGCGCGCCGCGACGACGGGCGCAGGGATCGCCCCCCTCCGATCTCTTCACCGCTCTCTCTCGCTCTCTCTCTCTCTCTCTCTCGCGCGCGCGCGCGATAAGTGGTGGTGACGCACACGCGTGTACATACGTGGGCCGAGTGCGTGCGTGCGGACGCGACTTGACGGCCTTGACGCGACAGCGCTCGCACCTCCTCGCACCGTTCCCGTACTGGTGCGTCTCCGCCTACGAGCATCCACGGGAGTGAAACTCATATACAAAAGGTGGAATCAAATATGGCCGCCTATGCCAAACGAAAACAGGGATAAATATATGCGTGCGCATCACGTGAGCACGTCATACCGGCATGCCGGATATTATCGAAGCCGAATAAAAACACGTGTTTATCCCGAGTTGACCTTTTCAACGATTTTTTTTAACTTCACGAAAGAACTTTTCGCTCTGTCTTTCGTGATCCATTTTCGTGTGATGTGTCGTGTTCGGCAGACCCGGTGTCCGGCAATTGTAATTGTGAACTACAGATATACATTTGCAACTATAATACGTACATACATTACTTTGTTATTTTTGGGGTTAGAATCAATTAATTTAAAATTTTAATTATTTATAATACTGTATTTAACGATCGTTGCGTAATATTAAAGAAAAGAAAAATAGCATATATATACTTTTTCGTTCTATTTTATGTTATTTTATAGAACAAAATTTTATGTTTTGTTTTATTGTACTTATATAAGTATTGTTATGTCTTGTCAACGTACCACTTACGCAAAAATATTATGTATAAATTATATTTATGGTCAAGCCCATATACAATATATGTTTTGTAATAAATAATATTATCACATATTTGTTATCTACTTTTATTAACTTATTCTTCTACATTTGATTTTGATGTTCTACA